AGCGGTCGTATTGGCCAGTTCTGGATGTACGAAGTTCGACATCATGGCGGAGGCTCCTGAAGAGCAAAGTCCGTTGACATGGTGGTAAAAGAGAGCTGGAGTGTCGACGGCCCGCCGGTGCGAAAGGGCCGGGAGGCTGATCGTAACATAACCTCCCTTGAATAGCTTCGAGTATGGATAATGTAGCCGGAGCAGCAGCACGCTAAATATGTAAATAGTACTAGAGGCTAGGTCTTATCTAGGCCTTGTAAAGATTGAGGAGGTAATGTGAAAAAAGGTGCTTCTTAATTCCAAATAAGTAGCATAGCTGTTTCTCAGCAGCTGTCGGTATTGACGAGATATGTTCAAGCCACATCAAGTCCTTGGTAATCTGGAGTCCGAAGAGCCCTAATAAACTGCCGTTTGGTAGTAGTCGGTTATCTATCGAAACTGGATGAGCGCTAGGGCAGATCGACCTCTGGGGAGCACCCGCGCTGATATTTTGGGATGAAGAGGAGAATCCGTCAATTACGAAGGAAATCTTCTCTGGGGGCTGATCGACCGCTTTATGAATCTCAAGAGCAACCACACATGCACATTATCATAAGACATATACATAGTAACAGAAAACTCTGTTTGACTGTGCAAAAATAAATATACGGCTTCCATAAGAAAAAGAAATTCATTGGTTGAGAACTAGACACGAAAGGTTGTAATTGCGGTTATACCACCTTGTAGTGAATAAACAGTGGTAATGTTAAAGTATGGAAAAAGAGGAAAATGTAGAAACGATTTTGGGAAAACTCTTTTTTCATTCGAAGTAACTTGTAGGCTTCTTTATATTAATCTCATATTGAGACGTTTCTGAAACAATGGTGAATGGAGAACGTTTTACTACTTTATATGGGTGTCGCTTATAGTTGATCCTGCGCGTGAGAAACAGCAAAACTGTGATAGAAAGAGGATATCTTCAGGTGCCCATTTAGTACTATATTATCCAAAAAAGACCAGAATAGCAAAGTGGCTAATTATTAAATGATTTACTCAGTAAAAGCATTTCCTAAATATTAGCTTCTTGCCATCAGGCTGCTGGTAGATATAGTTCGTCCTGCTATAAACGATACGTGGTGGATAGAATCATTTTTGAAAAATATCTGCTACGGCATATACCTCCTTCTTCTTTGAACATATAGCATACATCTAAACTTCTCAAACAATTTCACTCTCACTTTCACTTTTACGTCGAGATCACGATCTTGGCGCGATGTTACTTGCTGGAACTGATATTCACACTCGAAACAGAACGCCAATTTCTGGTGGACCATTTTTGCAAAGTTATTGGACTAAAGCGACATTAACTCTGTCTGACGTGAGCTGTGGTTATTGTATCTAAATAACCAGTTAGGTGGGAAAACCTTCAGCCTTTAGTTGGGTACTTAAAGCAAGGTGTATTCTTGTATCCATCTATCTATCTATCTTATCACTCTATTTCTCTAGCATTCGGCGAACTCCTGATGGTGATGACAAAGGTCATCGAAACCTAGAGAAATAAAGTAACCTGAGTTCACCTTGCTGTAAGTTTGTCTAAGTAACAACTAAAGGGTGAAACTTTTTTAACCTAACTAAATATATGTATATGAGCTTCACAAAGTGAACCCGTTAATAGACAAAATAATTATTTTGGTTTGGTTCGAGATTGAAATTTTGACCAAATTGTTCCTTCAAGTATTTTAAAATGCGCTTTCAAAAGGAATAAGAGAAAAAAATTTGATCGAACTTGATAATTGAACAATCCGAATCATTAGGTCCTGGTTCATTGTTCAGAATGATCTGTTACAATACGAATAATTGTCTTCATTGCCTTATGTGTAGCTATAAGTACTACGTCTTTTATATATGTGCGTTCCTTGTTTATCATGCTCAATTTACTACTCTCATACCTGCTTACTCTCTATGCTCTAACACGCATGTCAGTTGGTAAGCCTGAAACTACTGTTTTACCTTTTTACCATTGCGAAGATCCTCCATATTCAATTATCTCCAGTCAATAGAGCGACATGCTTCATCAGTGCACCACCTGCTTACATCTTCATAATTGATCCGTTTTATTGACTCGTCATTCATTATCTTCTATGTCACTTGGTCTCAAATAACTCTCTTTATCGCTCTCTCAGATTGACGCAAAGTGTATTTGAAATGTATCTGTGTCAATAGGGACGTATTCAAAACGGTAAAATATAATAGCTAGTAAACAGAGCACATGCTTATGTCTGCCGATCAATTGTTTCCTGGACGCATATTATATTAGAGTCAATCCCTAAGCTGCAAACTACAAAGAAATACCACCTGATCAACCCACAAAGAAGTGAAAACTGAACTGACTTAGAAGGTTCGGCATTATGCTGGTATAAAGACAATGCAATCTTTCTAGTCAGTCTTTTAATTCTTATAGCAAGCGATAGAAATTCTCGAACAATATTTATTAATACTTCTCTATTAGTAGACAGAATTGATTGGCTATGGGTATTATAAGTCGAGATTAGCTGTCATAAAGTATACCTCCTTCCAACGTGGAATCGACCATGGTATAAAAGCAGTTGAAACTAAACAGTCTATTTAAGGCAAATGTTGCTTTCACCTATCAGTTCCAACTTTCCCATTTAAACAGACCTACAGCTACAGTGATATCACCCGTACTATCTCATGATCACAAAGGCTATCACTTTCACTGTATTATAGCTCTAACTATTTTGTGTCGATGTTGTTCGCTCATTAGCCACAACTCACAGAATCGTGTCATATTAGGACTAACGAAATTGATGCCGCTTGGCATGCTAAACCATGTTCTGTTCCGAGTTGCCTTGGACGCCTTTAACAAAATCGTTGTTTTAACCATTATAAAAACCTGTCAATACAACATCTGAAACTTGAGGTCTTCATGCTGAGTAAGAACTTGGTTACCTTATAAAAAAAATGGCGTCAAGTAGAGTGACCGTATACTTCCCACGACTTCGAAGCGCCTTCTAGTACAATTTTCCATGAAGTGCAATAGCATCAAAAGACGTAGGATTTGTCAGAAACATTTGAGCCTTTCATGGAAGAAAATGATTACCTCAAATAGCATTAATGAGCGTGTCCCTACACGGTTCTTTGGAACTTGGGTCTCGAACAATATTTGATGGCTCGTTATAATAGCTCTGGAGACGTACTTTTTTAGCTCACGAAATTAAGTAACTTCATTAAATTAGACTCCAAGCATAATATCCGTATAATATAGATAATATCTCGCCCAAGGTAGACACACGAGACGTTACCACGCCACGTCGTCATTGTTCTACGTGCTTTTGTCCCTCGGATTACTTCCAACGCCTGCGCGACCGATAAGTACGCGATCCATCTGCATGCATCTGCTGAAAAGTTTTCCCAAGTTTGTAAGGCAAATGTACGGCGAAATCTACGGTGAGTGAAATTTGTCTAATAGGTTCGCAGATTTACTGGGGCTAGAAGTATATTGATATAGTTACATAAAAAAATAGTGACAAACTTTTCCCCACCCTTCTACAACCGCCCCAAATCCTATTTATCCCCTATCTTTTTTTTAAATGATCAGAATCATCTGAACATCAAAAAATAAAATTTAAGCGATTTGTATAGTTTTCGTTTTTTCGAACTCTTACCGCTGTCACTGAATCGGTCTTCAAACAATTCAAATCTCTTTCGTCCTTATTATAGTGGTCACATTGTGTAAACATTTAATCACAATTCGCACAATACTTCTAAAGTTGTAGACAAACATATCTCATTTTGTAAATTTTCCGTACCAGTAGGCGTGAGCAGTAAAAAAAAAAGTTTCCCCATTAATAGGCAAAGATCACATTCAGTAAGTAGACATACCACTCACTGTACTTACCGTGGGCATACTTAATGGAAAACGATTGTAAGTCATTTTGAAAGAGTTGCATGAATAAACAGTATTTTGTTAGATAGAAATAGCAACCTTTATTGGCGTCTACCGCAACAAGATTTTGGTTTTTTAATTTTTACGCCAACTGGCCAGGAAGTTTTGAAATCGCGAAAGATTACAATGCTCATTTGGATGTTCCGTTTGACTGAAGGTTGGTGGGTTTGTATGCTTGTCTGATTGGCTGCCCATGGTACTTTGGCCCTCGATACGTAGGAAGGCACGGGACATATTTTGATAAAACTTCAACCAAAGTTGCTACTATGCCAATGGCAAAAAGCTATGTAGTTCTTAAGTTCAGTCGTGGCAGAGTTACAGCCAAAAATGAAAATAGAAAGTAAAATTGCTTTGTTATTTGGCGTTTCAGAGACTCCTGTTCATTTTCGGAACAATCTCGTGGGGTTTGAAACTGGGTGTTAAGGGGTTGTAGATGTTGCAACGTTCCTATCGTGAAAGGCGTTCAACAACAAAGAAGCTTCTGATCCTGTTAATAATTCGTGTCTTTTAAATATAATAGTTACACGTTTTGAGTGGGACTCTCCTGTGTGATCGCCCGATGCCAGTAGTAAACTACTATCATACTTCCGCGCAGACCACGTTCTCGGCTGAAACATGGCCGTGCGGCAAATATTTTACCGTGGCTTGGGGGAAGTGGATGGTTGGTGGTGAATACTTGAGACACTGTTTTTGATTTTTTCATCATAAGCAAATTCAACGGAGCTTTCGAGCCTTGGAATAGTATCAACGAGTACTGCGTTTCTGAATCCGATATACCTTACCCTAGATGATTAGAAAAAACCTTGTAAACCTTACATCTCTGATATCACTAAATGGTGCTCTATTATTCCAGTAATATCATAATAACTACCATATTATATCTTAACAAATTGAGAGTAACAGTAACGTTCATTGTCCAACGTACAATTGAACTATAAAATAGAATTGATGAAATGCAACAACACAGCACCTGCTATGGGATGCGTAGACATAATTAGTACTTGGGTCACAAAAGTCCTTCCCGTATGGTTCAAAAGAAACCCAACATTGCTCCTTGTTCCAGGAATGTTCATCATCCGACGTGACCTCGTGCCTGAAGCTGAAGCTTCTTGCGGCTATGGACAGAGTAGCGCGCAGCTTCAATGAAATTCCTATATTAGAGGGCGTCACCTTTGTGAAAGATATTAAGGCAGCTGTGGTACAAAGTGAGCCTATTAAAAGCGAAGCTGAAATTGAAGCCAGCCTGCCAAGGTCCCTCGAGGACAAACAAGATGCCTTGAATGGCATGATTGCTGAGAAAGTGTCCAGTTTCGTAGGGTCGCACACATTGCAGGTGAGTCATACCAAGTAACTCCATACTAACAATACTATACTAAAATATGTGACTTTATTTACTATGCTTGACGAGTAACAGGAAATGGTAAACTTTATGCTCCTAAGGCGCAAGCAACTATTTAAATCTTTAAAATGCCTGAAACTCACGACTTCAAGAAATGAGCAAAATAAGTAAACTTTTCAATACAGCTCAAGTAGGCATAGTTTCAAAATCCAATGTCGGCAGCCAGCAATCTGTTGAACTGTTTATCTCTGAGCTATAGATCTTTTCCAGGCATCTTACACACAACTGCATCAGATTTTGAAATTAAATTTGCAATGATGTCATCCGTAGTATAAGACGGATAAATTTTACCAACGTCAATTAAAAAAAATGCAGTTACATACTAGGTACCCCGTTTTTTTCTTGCTAGATGCTGCACATAGTTGAAAGTTTCCATCGGTACAGAGTCCGATAATGAATAGTTTTCAAAATATGAAGGGTGATATCACAGTTGAGTGTATCTTATGATAACATTTCAACATATTCACTTATTAGAACACATCTTTACACCATATAGTTCATATAATTCACCAAACGGGCGACTACCAGTTATTTTTTAATATAGCACAAAAATATGCTCAGTGGAATTTTGTGTTTGGAAACAAACGGAACTAGTAGGAAAGGCCATACTACTTGTTTGAATAGGATCATTCGGTTATTATCAATGGAACTTGCCCTCAAAATCGTGACTGAATGCTTGTTTTTATTTCGACGCGTCTACTTTTCTAATGCAAAATTCAATATTTATTTGCCACCATATAGGGAACAGGTAATTCCATTTATGAATATAGAAGTTTACTGTAAAACCAAGAAAAAAACTCACCATTAAATTAGCTCTTAACAGATTTGATTCAGTTCAAAAGAGGATGTTACGCCCGAAATTTAATTTTGGCTCACTTCTTTCAAGTTTAGTAATGCCCTAAGAGAGTAGGCTTTTAACGAACTCTTAAATTTGGTGACCTTCCGTTACTGTAAAAGACCTGATGTTAGTAATTAGCAAATAATTGGTAGGATCCCATTATCAAGCTAACACTGAAGGGATGCCTTTGTACCAAGAAGTGAGATATTTCCTTATTAGGGCTTGTAATGGGAAACAATGCACAAAAAACAAGGAATATAATATTGTATTGCGAAGTTTTTAACTTACTTTACTGTTGGCAGGAGGGATGTCCGACTGATCCACTTTTCTCTAACGGACAGTCTAGGAACATTTTCGCATCGTCAGCGATCTGGCTATCTGCCAGAAAGTTCCGCATGACTTTGGCCATCCATCCTAACCGTATCAAACTTAGCACATCCATATCTGGCCGATACGACCGCTCCTTTGTCCCTAGGGTGTAAAGATTGTGGAACAATCTGCCTAATTAACGAGATACCTTGGAGCTCGTTATGGTATCCGCGGTACCACGGTATTTAGGCTTCTGCCTATGCAGCTACTTCGGCATTAAATATACCTTCTCGGCAATAACATTTCATTGAAAGCATACTTTAGTCCACACGATATAAATTTTACCTATTTACATCAAAAAATCAAAAAGGTAGTCAGTGGCGCCGTGGTGGTCGCAGGATTCATGTTTAAGATGTTCGTCAAGGACAGTTTGGAATTGAAAAGCGGAGTCTGAGATGGATCTAGAGAGGAATGGGGTGTGGGCAGGATTCCGTGGTTCATGTTCATATTTACATATTTTGTCATATTATCGAGGTTGGGCTCTCCGTTGATGAATCATGGTGACGGTTGAGCATTTTATCGAAGCAGGCTTCTGGTACGTATTTCTTCAAATAAGAAAAGATACTACTTATGTTACGGATATATTATCATTTGCACCTCTCCAAGCTATTCTGCCTGAACCATACACTTTTGTAAAATTCAAAATCGATGCGTCTGTAATAAGAAAAATATATTGACCACTTACAACATATTTGCTGTCGCCTGGTCCTTTATTCCATAGCGAAGTGTAACTGCACACACAAACAAATTTCTGGTTCCTTGCAGATCAAACTTCCTACAGCAACTGACCTCCAACGCTCACTTGTAGAAGAAGGTCGTGGCAAAAAGAAGAAAATGAGCGGCTACCTACTCCTACCTCTTATCCTTGGAGGTACTATGATTCCTCTAGCTCTTGGTGCTCTGGCTTTGCTAGCTGGCAAGGCTCTTATCGTCTCTAAGCTAGCTTTGGTTCTGGCTGGAATCATTGGACTGAAAAAATTGCTCTCAGGATCAGGAGGAGGACATGAGTCAGGTCACGTTGAGGTAGTAGCTGGAAGTGGAGGCCACTCTGGCTGGGGCAGGTCGTATACCAAGGAGGAGGCTCAGAAGATGGCATACCAAGCGTATGAACCCAAAGCAACGACGACGTCGTGACTCAGTGCCTAGGTTACTTTTATAATTTATTTATTTATTGTTTTTTATATAAGTATTATTAAAATTTACGTCACGATATACGAGTACTCACTTTGACTTTATGAACTCTTGAGAACATAATACAAGTGCACCCAATGCATGAAAGAACAATAATGAAGCGAGGCTAAGACAAGCTTTCTGTACTAAGTTGATCCTTCATTTCAAAATTCTTGTTGCACCAGATATACTCAAAACCCAAGTTAAGTCAACAGTTGAGCCAAGTCTTCTGCTTAATGTGGAGTTCGTAACGATCTTGGTTGTCACAACTTGATAATTTCGTATCCAAAATTTATGTTCGACAATTTTTGAATATTTGATATATGTATAGGAGGGATATTGCAGAAGTTGATAAAGTTGACGAAAGAAATCTTCACGTATTGAGTACCTCACCAAATCCTTAATGAAATATTGTGAATTTTGATTACAGTACACTTTCCCAAAAATTTTGCGGCACTCGAAATACATTTCTCATATTTAGGCTGTAATTCAGTTATAATTGATCAGGATACGTTAAGAACATATTTATAATAAATGTTAATGTCATCCAACAAATCAACTGTCATTCGGATAGCTTTCCGGATGCTTTCACAATGCAAGCTCTGTGACAAAATGTGACATAGATTCATGGATAAACAAACAAGCCTACCGACTAATGTTACACTAACTTTAGAACGGTCAAGGGTGGGGTTTATCGGTTATAATACTACCTACGCTCACGTGCGGAATGCACAAATCAGCCTGTAGAAGTTAATCCAGGTGTCTGGTGGTAGTGCTGTCAACATGTAGACGTTATTCCTAGTCAACGAAACTTTTCAAAGTATTACGCAAGAATACATTGCATGTGCACTCAAATGCTTACCTGAAAAGTACAACAAATAGCAGCGAGAAAGTGAGGACTACAAGGTCGATAAATCAAGTGATGAAACTAACTTCTTTTAATTTTTGTATTCAAATATAATTACAATTTTATATTGACACCCTCAAAATAACTTCCTTCTGAAACCACGCAGCGCTGGAAACAGTTCTTCCACTCCTCATAGAGGTGATGGACTGTCACAAAATGATTTTTCAACGTCGGGAAGAGAAAAAACTCACAAGGACTCAAATCAGACGCATATGGAGGTTGAGGAGCCACAAAAATGCTTTTACTGGCCAAAAACCCGTTTATTGCGTTGCTGTGTGACAAGGAGCATTATCGTGATGCAATACCCAGTTGTTTTTGATTTGACGAACGGTGGTATTAGCCAAACTTAACTCTTTTCCGGTTCTTGAAGATGAAGGCCTGCCGCTTCGTGATTCATCTTCAATCGACTCTCTCCCTGCTAAAATTGTCTTAAACCACCAAAAAATCTAGGCTCTTGACAAAACACTACATCCGAAGGCCTGCTGAAGTTTAGCAACAGTTTCCATTGCACTGTGCCTAAGTCTGAAGCAAAACCTGATAGCACACCAAATTGGTGTCAATCATTTTTAGAACACATTAGGAAAATCTGTCTAAAAAAAGTCGCTGCGGACAACCAAATGACTCGAGCGAGTTCAAACTGGTAGTGAAGGCGGATCACATTTTCCGCTGTTCCCTCCAAGCTCGGCGCCTCTAGTGTTGCCAGGTAACACGCTACGTTGCCAGTCTCGTTACTTAATTTTCAGACTTCGTATGATTGAAAGTAATGACATCTCTCACTAGTCCAAGTATAAACTCCGGTTTGCATCATTGTGATTATATCAGAGATTCGGAGCTGTAATATTAACCGCGTCTTCAGATCCTCAGATTCATATTTTTTCTCAATATGTTCCTAAAATATGAAAATTACCGTACATCTTTCATACCCTAATAAAACGTATACGATTCCGTTGGGAGGGACTCTGTCGTCTATAACAGCATTACGTTTCTTCGGCAAAGAGATTTTATAAGCCTGAAGACATCAGACTCTGAAAAAGAAGAGGACTAGACACACAGACGAAAGCGAAACTTGATTACATCCTCGGCTTACTATTGAAGGACTTTCACGCTGAATATGGCGTCGGTCGGAAGAGAGCGCCAGCGCATTCTAGACGAGCTTGATTTAATAAATGTTATTATGATGCGATGCTATAATATACTAAGTGACATATAAATCCGAACACCCAGTTTAAATGGTTTTATTTTAATAAAATTTTGTATAAGTACTTAATGAAGCATAATAAGTAAATGATAAAAATTTCAAAATGATTGCACCGCTTTAAAACCGTTTGACCTTTAATAATGTGTGGATGCACCCTGATGTGCTACGCATTCTCCAACGCGCCTAGGCATGCTTCTGATCAGGTGGTCAATGTCCTCCTGTGGTATCTCATTCCAGGCAACCACCAACTCCTCTCGAAGTGCTGCTAGAGTCTGAGGAGGACGTTGCAAATTGAGCAATCTCCTACCCATCATATCCCACACGTGCTCAATTGGGGATAAGTCGGGAGATCTTGGTGGCCATGGTAACAATGTGACATCATTATGTTGAAAGAAGTCTATTGTGACTCTTGCAACATGTGGTCGGGCATTATCTTGTTGGAAAGTTGGATCTGCCAGGGTGTCAAGATAGGGTAAAAGATGGGGTTCTAGAACTTCGTGGATATAACGCTGCGCGTTCATGTTACCTCTGATGAAGATTAAAGGTGACCTGGAACCATAAGCTATAGCACCCCAAACCATAACTCCAACAGTGTGATGAACATGTCTTTCAACAAAAAACTGTGGATTCCTCCTTTCACCACGTCACCTTCTAACCCTGGCACGACCATCGTGCATGCCTAAACAAAATCGAGACTCGTCACTAAAGACAATAGTGTTCCATTCCTGATCCCAGAGTGACCGTTGTCTGCACCACTCAAGGCGATTACGTCGGTGTTCTCGAGTTAAAGGGAGGACCCAGTGTGGCCGGTATGAAAACAAGCCAAAACTTCTCATTCGTCGGTAAACACTTCGCATGCCAATAGGTCTTCCGTGTTCTGCAAACCATTCATTTGCAATGGACCTGGCCAATAATCTTAGGCGGCGATCTTCACGGTCTGTTGTTCTACAGCGGCGTCCAGTGCCCCTTGCTCTTTGTCCAGCTTCCCGAAGTCCCACTATACGGCCCCTATCAAACTCACTAAGTTGACGAAATCGTACAGGTCTCCGTACTCTAGGCATCGTAACCGATCGTAAAGGATGTCAAGAACCAAAATCCGCCAACGTTGATTCTTTACTGCGGCTGAAATATTCATTTTTAGAGCGTTAGTGAATTAAAAAAAAGCAGTATAAAAACCGGAATGTCCAACTGATAAGGCTGAAAATTTTTTCACTTGTTACTTACAGTAAGATAAATACATTCACCAAATTTTATTAAAATAAAACCATTTAAACTGGGTGTTCGGATTTATATGTCACTTAGTATAGTTATGTGTGTTGTAACAGGACCGAATGTGGAATCCTTTCAATGTGAATGAATATGCAGTCATTCACAAAATTAAGTAGTGATTCCTATGGGTATGAAGAATAATTATCAATGTGGTATATATTTTGGACGTTCATCCTATTTACAATTGTTTGCATTGCATATATGCTGTTCTACCAAGTAGACAATTTTTACCAATACATAGTTCATGGATGATTCTGAAGATACAATGCTTTTCACAAGCAGGCCTCCGATTTGTTATATTAACAGATCCAGCTAGCCAACTGAAATCCGTAGTAACGCATTTGTGCATTGAAACAAGAGATAGCTGAAAATTTCAAGATGTCGCCTGGGTGTCAACTAGAAACATTCTTTAGACGGATAGGGCTGTCATAGTTGAGCGTTTTTGCACATTCAATGTCTTATCTTAACAATTAATTATCAAGACGATATAGTATGTACTATCAAAGTTGTTTCCCCGCAGCCGCCATCTTGAAACTTTTAACTGACACGATCACGCTAAGATAGAGTACCATGCATCAATTTCATTACCCTGAATTTCAACTACTTACTTGGAAAAATAGATGGAGGAAAGACCTTTTTCAAAAGCACTGTGTAGCCTGTTTCGGTTGTGGTGTGGTGAAGATAAAGATATGTATGCTATTGGGATATCATGGCCCCTAGCAAACAATCATCTGCGACAAAACGCTAAAAAGAAAACCATGTCAATATCGAGAGTACGGTGAGCTTCCAGTGACGTCAAAAACAGGGTCTGAGTTTCGTAAAAAACGTCTTCACAAAGGTTTCATGTTGTTCAATGGCGCTTTAAGAAAAATTTACAAAAACAATTCAGTAATAATTATAATAATAATGTTTATTAAAGTATTAAGACATAATACAGTAAAGATATGAGTAAATAATATAATACGAAAAATTATACCCCAAAACGTTTCATTCACTAAGTGCAATACTACATCTTAGTAGGAAAAATCACATACATCACATATATCAGTAGGTATCTGACAATTACAGCATCAACAAAATTTTAAAAGACAATAATGTTAACAACGAGATCTATTCAACCATGTGTAGCAGCAACTTTTAACTGTAAAAGCATTCCTTTAATTCTCGTTTGAAGGTGTGATTGAAAAAAAAATAGTTTGACATCTTAATTAAACTAAAACTTAATAGGGCCTGAAACTCTTCCTTGTGGAACTCCAGAAACTACAGTTCGTAAAGTAGACACTTTATTATGCAATTTCACACATCGAGATTGATCAGACAAGGAATTACTAGATGATATCAAGGCATTTCCGGTCAAACAATAACGATTTTTGGCACAAAACTCTGTGGTTCACCATGCCGAATGTCTTGTAGTAGCGTTATCACGCCATAATCTATAAATTTCACTATATCTGAAGAACTTTGAATGAGCGATGTAGATATATTGAGAAATTTCCTAATCCGCAACCCTGTCGAGCTCTAGATGCTCACAAAGTTCAACCTCAGCAATTTTCTCTAACAATTCGGACAGTGAAGGTAAAGCACTTATTGGTTTTCGTCTTATCGACCTATTGTCCTGCGCTTCTCAAATATCAAAGTAAACAAACTGGG